CCCTCTCCCAGGACGGACAGACGTGCAATAGATGCCGTGTGTAAATCGAAGAGATAATACATTTACAACATAGGTAGTCCAAATGTTTGGAAATGCATGTGTCTATAATAAGAAGATGAATCCACGAGGATGTCATGCTGTTTATGCTGCGTTGCCTGTGCTGAAACCCAAGCAGTGTCACAAATGCAAACAACAAAGCAGTAACAATGAAGCGAATCAAGAGAAGAAGAAGAGCCTTGTTCTTCTCAGAGGACATTAGTACGATGCCATCTGTTCAAAGATGAAAAAGTCTCGCCTCCGCACATCTGTGCCACAGCAAAATAAAAGCAAAATAAGACCTTACGATAGTTTTCAAAGAAAGCACACCATCCAGCATCTGTAACCCTCGGTCATCTGTCTTGCTCTCAAGATCTCTCAACACTGTGTGTCATTTATTTGGCTCTTCCTGCCAGCATATCTCAGAACGCTGAACACGCTGAAGCTTTTTTCTGCTGCAGGGGTGGAAATGCTGAAGTTATCAGATCGAGGACGCCAGAAAGTTGGCCCATGCATCAAGTTGAAGTATCGCCACCCTGTTGTGTTACACTTGACAAATGTCTCAGCTTTCCTTTCTGTTACTCTACCGCATTTGGTTTTGATCTCTTCATCTGAGTTTTACATAAAGTGTACTCACATCTGTCAATGTTATCAGGGGGATTCATGTCATTAATGAATTAGACCTCCAGAAATATCTTCACAGGGAAAAATCATTCAAAATCACTGCCTCTGAAGCCTCTCCCTGCTTATGCTTTGCAGAGTCATGCAGGATGTGTGATACATGCTAACTGTACACAAAATAACCATGGCTGAGAAATAGGTTCAAACTGAGGACGTTGTTGTTGACAGGTGGCCATTGAAATAAATTACCATATATGCGATTCCAATCATTTGAACATGTAGGATATAGTTTATATATCATTGTTGTAGGCTCTGTGAACTTAATGCTAATGTCAAGATGCTAACAATGACAACAATGTAGCATTAGGCACGTTCACACCAAGTACTTTGCCGTATTTAGTGCCGGCACTTAGTGCCACGAGCTATTGGAGCTACAACGAGCCGTTAAAGGCAGAGAGTGAAATTCAGTGAATACAAGTAGTTGACAGAGATGCTGTATGAGAAACCAATGTGAGTTTGGAAAAATGCACAATATAAATCTATTTTAGTATACCTCAACAATGGAATTATGATCAGTGGAAATGGCCATGACACCTCTCCTTTAAGGTAAAACACATGTTTATTAAGTATGTCTGTGCCCCGTTTGGCCACTACGAAGATTTGCTAGCACTTCCTGGGTGCTTGGTTCAACATCTTAGTTCATCATGTCAGCAAAGAAACATATTTATTAGGAATGGATGAATCGTTTTTTTTTTCTTTTTCTCATAACCCAAAGTATCTCACAAAGTGACCATTGGACCTTCTGGTGACGCTACATGAAAAGGCAGCGGATCACCAAAGTCATCAGGGTTCATCCCTCAGAGCATCATGAATTTATTTTAACCAAATGTCATGGAAAGATCCATCAACCATCATTGACATACCTAATGCCAAGCAACTGCATTTATAAAACATCAAAAATAATCACTGAAATTAAATTGACAGATGATTCCCACTTAAAGGACATCTGTCAATGACATGAATATGTGTCCCCGGTGTTCCAGGGAACTCACCAAGTGTCAGAAAACACAACCCTCTCTATTTTCCTCCATACCCAAATCTCTAAAAAAAGGGGCTGCAACGGATCTGATAAAAACTGATCCAGATTTGAACACTGTCCTGACGTCAGGACGGTGGCGCTACGGCTATTGGGCCAACTCCACCAATCAGGAGGAGACAGCCACGGCCATTGCTGTTCGAAAGCGCTGGAGACGCTGTAGTACATATGCCAGGCCAGTAGATGGTGCTGTTCTCACAGAATCTGCCCTTGGAAAAACAGAGCTAAAAAATGTCAAATTGAGCAAAATGAGGCATGGCTAAAATGCATGATCTGTTTGGTATTTTGAAAAAAAAAAAGTATAAATATGCCTTATATAGGTATGGCCCTACACTATATTATTCAAATATAGCATGATAGGTCCACTTTAAACTCAATATGACTTAAGGTTCTCTTCAATTATTACAAATCACAGGATTTTTGTGGATAGGTTAAAATCTTATCATGACTTGCCTGCCACACCAAATAATGGATGTAGCTTCTTTATTACTGCATATGAGATATCTTCCCTACCATTAAACCAGATTTATATTACAATAGCTACAAGGATATCGAGAACACGTTCAATGAACAACTCTGAGCTCTCAGCAGGCTGGACATGCGGAGAGGGGGAGGTTTTTTTTATTCATTTGTTGTTGCTCAACAGTCACTGAGGACCCACAGTGCTCAGAACAGATTACTGTATCTGAAAGGATTTAACATACAAAATACCAACCCACGTGCATTGAACATTTCTTAGTCTTCTCACCCAGAGGAATTAAGCGTCTGCATGAACAAAAACAAAACATGTAGCTCTAGATTTAGCATTAAAGCAAAGTAGAGCTGCTTTGACTGGACTGTGGATTTCAGGTTGGCAACGTTGAAATAGCACAACAACAGAAACAATATGACATGCAGCACTGTTAGTGAAATGAGAATGACATCATGTTTAATTGTTCTCCAATGGGATTAGCAAGCAGGTAAGACAGCACTCTCAATTCGCCAATGAACGACATTAAATGGGATTTGGCTGCAATCGTAGTAACCATTCAAGATTGATGAGGCTGCCAAGAAACAGCATAATAACATTTCTCTGATTTTGTTTGGCAACAATTGGATTGAGGGTAATTTGATACAAAGCTTTAACTGAGGTATAATATGTGAAACATCCAGACAAAGATAGGGCTTTGAAATAACAAATACAATTATTCCTCTGGGTAAAATACTTATTTTTAAAATTCAATCAAGGGGAGATCTGAATTAAAGTGGTTTCAAAAGACAGTTTCTTTTTGTAAGAAATGATTGCCACACAAAATCAAAAGATGGCAGAAGACAAGATGAAATGGAGAACAATCGGCTCTAATGAACAGTTGGAATATATGGAATAATACATATGCTTGACGTGTGTTTTTGGTTGTTTATGTATTGGGCTGTCAACCTAGTTTTATGAAATGTTGCAGACTGTCTTTTCGATTCATTATTTGTTTGTTTGGTTCTTTTGTTTTTGTCTAATGAGCGTAAAGTATTTGATCATGTTTCTTATGTTGTTTCTTTGTGAGATGGGAATGCCATCTTCCCCTATGTTGTTGTTGTTATGTCCTTGTTTGTTTCTCCGGCCTGTACTCAGGTTGGTGCTTTGAATATGACAAAGAACGAGGAAGTGAGCGCCTCAAACTGAACAAATGTCGTGGCCCGTGTTGATGTGCACGGCGAAGACACAACATGCAAAAGAGCAAATGTTAAGCTGTGATAAATGAAGGCAACAAATGTCTCTTTGTCATTTCATTGATGAACACAAGAGCCTATTTGTCAGCCGCCGCCGCCGCCGCCGGAGAACACTTGTCCCGGGATGGTGATGTATTCAGTTAACACCGAGTCAAACTCATTCAGCTTCTAATTTGCAGCGATGTGGTTAGATTTATCATCCGGCAGATGTTGGGGGTCTTTTTTTTTCTTTCTCCACCCGGATACACAGGTGCAGGTGTCGGGGGACGCGGTTTAAAACTGTGACAATGATGGGAAACAGCTGGTGCACGAGTCATTCCCTGCGACCTCCACACATTTGAATTGCAACCTCTGAATAAACCTGTCAGATGTGGTTAGGTATGGGTTTCTGTGGCAATTTTCGATCGCGGGCCACCCTCCTCTCTCTTCCTTTCTGATAAATATGCAACGCTGATGCCCTGGTCCTCTGGGAGTTTGCCTTGACAGTGCGGCAAGAGACTCTCCTGGCAAATGCACAAATAGTCTGACTCCAGGCTTAATATATTCATCTGTGGCAGCTGTTGATATTACAGCCAGGGTCCCATTAGACCGGTGCAGGTAAGCTACAAGAACAAACACAATAATGGCTGCAATAACAAATCCACAGTCTTTTTGCTGCCTGATGAGGGAGCAAGACAACACATGAAATATGATGGAGTTCAATTCCTACATGCTGATATTTAAAGATGTTTAGAGAGGCAACTCAGGGCAAGTTTATTTATATAGCACCTTTCAACACAAGGCATTCAAAGTGCTTTAAAGAAATGAAAGACATTAAGAGCATAAAGAAATAGTGCAGTTTGTTTAGATAATGATTTTTGGAGAGGCCGTATTGTGCTTTTTGGAGTTTTACCTTTCCTGTAGTGAGTTGTATAGGTTTTTCATTAATTAGAATTCGATTTTTACAATTTACCATCTACAATAACTGACTTCATGTTGTTCATAATTAGCATTTTTGGCGAAATATGTGTGCACATACAAGAAACTTATACTGCTCTCAGACTAACAGAAAAAATGACAACAAAGTCCCTTTCAACACTTGAGGAATTGAAATGATTCTAAAAAATAAATCCTTAGGCAGTCCTAAGTGTATCTCTGTGTTGTGTATAAGGGGCGGGACCTCTCTTAGCGGTTGACCAATCACGGCAGAGCCAGCAAGCTAACCAATCAGATCAGACAGTCTTAAGTGTATCTCTGTGTTGTGTATAAGGGGCGGGACCTCTCTTAGCGGTTGACCAATCACCACACAGCCAGCAAGCTAACCAATCAGAGCAGACAGTCCTAAGTGTATCTCTGTGTTGTGTATAAGGGAACCGATTGCTTAGTCCATAGTAAGTCCATAATATTGAATCTTTGAATACAAATACTGCAAAATGCCGTGCACAAGTCGATATGCCTGGGTTAGAAAAAAAAGACATCCAATCCAGAATTACAATTACATCTTAAATGTGAGAAACTGCAATGCAAACATGTTCGTCATTTTCTTGCGTCTCCATGTACTCACATATTCTCCGTATGTGTCCTGAACGAGGGGGGGGGCAGGCCGGTACCCTGCGGTCGGGGGGGCGCCCCTGGCTCTCTGGACCGCCCGCCCTCTGGAGGAAGGAGCCCGGCTGGGGGGGACTCCTCTGGGGGCGGCTCCTCTGGGGGCGGCTCCTCGAGGCACCGCTGCATGCAGGGGGGGGACTCCTCCTCGAGTCCTGAAACAAGACAGAAAACATTGTTTTATTTTGGGAAAACATGATGTAGTGGTGGTAGAAATTGAAGAGGCCATGTTTGTTTGTTTTATGGTTTTTCCCTCTCTTGTAGTGTGTAATATAGGTTTTGGTGCGTGTAAATGGTCTGCAAAGGCTAAAATCCCAAAGTTTGTTTCCCTGATTCGCCTCCATTGGACTCCTTTGTTTACTTCCTGAACATGGTGACATCACTATGTAACACTCATACTTCTATACAACACATTTTACGTGATAGGCTAAGGGGCGGGACCTCTCTTAGCGGTTGACCAATCACAACAGAGCCAGCAAGCTAACCAATCAGAGCAAACTGGGTTACTGATATACACCTGAACATCAGCAGGAGAGGACTCTTTAAAGTAGAGACATTACATACTGATATACACCTGAACATCAGCAGGAGAGGACTCTTTAAAGTAGAGACACTACATACTGATATACACCTGAACATCAGCTGGAGAGGACTCTTTAAGGTAGAGACACTACATACTGATATACACCTGAACATCAGCAGGAGAGGACTCTTTAAAGTAGAGACACTACATACTGATATACACCTGAACATCAGCAGGAGAGGACTCTTTAAAGTAGAGACACTACATACTGATATACACCTGAACATCAGCAGGAGAGGACTCTTTAAAGTAGAGACACTACATACTGATATACACCTGAACATCAGCAGGAGAGGACTCTTTAAAGTAGAGACACTACATACTGATATACACCTGAACATCAGCAGGAGAGGACTCTTTAAAGTAGAGACACTAGATACTGATATACACCTGAACATCAGCAGGAGAGGACTCTTTAAAGTAGAGACACTACATACTGATATACACCTGAACATCAGCAGGAGAGGACTCTTTAAAGTAGAGACACTACATACTGATATACACCTGAACATCAGCAGGAGAGGACTCTTTAAAGTAGAGACACTACATACTGATATACACCTGAACATCAGCAGGAGAGGACTCTTTAAAGTAGAGACACTACATACTGATATACACCTGAACATCAGCAGGAGAGGACTCTTTAAAGTAGAGACACTAGATACTGATATACACCTGAACATCATCAGGAGAGGACTCTTTAAAGTAGAGACACTACATACTGATACACACCTGAACATCAGCAGGAGAGGACTCTTTAAAGTAGAGACACTATATACTGATATACACCTGAACATCAGCAGGAGAGGACTCTTTAAAGTAGAGACACTACATACTGATATACACCTGAACATCAGCAGGAGAGGACTCTTTAAAGTAGAGACACTACATACTGATATACACCTGAACATCAGCAGGAGAGGACTCTTTAAAGTAGAGACACTACATACTGATATACACCTGAACATCAGCAGGAGAGGACTCTTTAAAGTAGAGACACTACATACTGATATACACCTGAACATCAGCAGGAGAGGACTCTTTAAAGTAGAGACACTACATACTGATATACACCTGAACATCAGCAGGAGAGGACTCTTTAAAGTAGAGACACTACATACTGATATACACCTGAACATCAGCAGGAGAGGACTCTTTAAAGTAGAGACACTACATACTGTACTGATATACCCCTGAACTTCAGCAGGAGAGGACTCTTTAAAGTAGAGAGACTACATACTGATATACACCTGAACATCAGCAGGAGAGGACTCTTTAAAGTAGAGACACTACATTCTGATATACACCTGAACATCAGCAGAATGTCCTCTTTAATATGTGTACACAGTTTGGATGGATCATGTAACATAGAGTATATCCTTTTTCGACAGAGCGAGTTCATTTTGGTATTCAAATAGTTTCATATATCATTAATATGATACGTCCATTGGATCCCAAGTCTTTATGATGAGGTGCTGTAATTTATCATGTTTGGAGTCAAGCTGCCTCCTCTACTTCCATTCCTGTTAGTGATTTCCAACATCGGCCAGAATTACTTGGAAGAAACATAGCAGTGAATTTGATCCATTCGGCAGCAGCATGTTATGTGTGTAGGTGGAGACGGAGGAACAGCGAGGGTGGAGGGCACATTCCTCCAGTCGAGGAAAAGTGAGTCACGTCCATTACTCAAAACACAGCATGTCTTGTGGCTGAATTGCTTCCCCGTCTATTAAGGAAAGCGAAGAGGAAACATGCATGTTCACTGAAGGATGTTTTCTTGAAATAAAGCATTTAGACTCTGGGGAAGTTGCAAAACGACCATTAATGTTTAAGATATTGTTGTGCAAGATTAAGATAAGATAAAATATACTTTATTGATCCTGAACTGGGATTTATTTTTCATTACAGCAGCAATTTAAAGGTCTCCTATTACACTGTTTTTCATCAATATATCACAGGTCTCAGATATATACAGAACCTGTCTCTGATTGGCTGAAACACCTAACAGATCATTGCAGCATCCCATAATCCCCTCTGTTTCAGCCCTGTTTCAAAAGTGCTGATTCTCTGTCTGTTACTTTAAATGAAAATAAGGAGCCCCTCCCCACGCCCCTCTGAGAGAGATTTGGTTACAAAGAACACAATGGTGCTCTAGGAGGAGATTCAGGTGATAAGGTGGGGGGGGGGGGGGGGGGGGTTACCTTGGTTGGTGATTGGCTAATGGTGACACAAGCCAACACATCGTTATGACATCATCAAGTGGCCAAAATCTGATTAGCTCATTCTCATATATAAATGGATCAGGACAAAAAGTGAGAGAATCCTTTTTCCTGAAACTTTCAGAATCTCTTTACACAGAGGGGACACATGTTGATGAAGAAGAGACATGAAGAAGAGGGGGACACATGTTGATGTAGAAGAGACATGAAGAAGAGGGGACACATGTTGATGTAGAAGAGACATGAAGAAGAGGGGACACATGTTGATGTAGAAGAGACATGAAGAAGAGGGGACACATGTTGATGTAGAAGAGACATGAAGAAGAGGGGACACATGTTGATGTAGAAGAACATGAAGAAGAGGGGACACTGTTGATGTAGAAGAGACATGAAGAAGAGGGGACACATGTTGATGTAGAAGAGACATGGAGAAGAGGGGACACATGTTGATGTAGAAGAGACATGAAGAAGAGGGGACACATGTTGATGTAGAAGAGACATGAAGAAGTGGATTTTGCATGATAGGTCCCCTTTAAAACAAGGCATTGCACATCATTTAGGATAAAAAAAAAGGGTGGAAAAATTAACCGTGATAAATAAACACTACTGTTGGGGAATATTTTTGCTTGCGTATCTAACCTTTAACCCAGTCCATCAATTTATCTTCTCACTCTCTCCTTTCCCATGGCATATCTACGGCCTTGGGGTGTTTCTGCTATCTCTCTTTAGGAGGAGCAGCTCTGGCTCCTCGTTGTTGTTCATTACCGAAAACAAGCTGACCTGAGATAGTTTATTGTTTGTGGATCTGGGAGTCCTTCTTATCGGGTGCGTAGGTCCCGCTGGCGTACATTCTTTGGCCATGGAGGACAGATTTAGTTACATTCAGTGCCCTTTTTGTTTAGTCTTGTTAATAAATCATGTTGATTATAGGGCTGCAGCACATGTCTTGTCAACTTTGTAATAAAGCACCTTGAGATGACGTTGTTTTTAAAGTGTGCTATATAAATGAAATGTATTATTATATTGTAAACCATCAGTGTTTGCCATCAAGTTCCAGCTCTCCAATTGTTTCACTGTTTCGACACCATTTTAAGTTTCCATTACAACTATGCAAGTCCAAATTACAGTTGGGACAATTTAACAGAAGGATATAATTTACATTAGGAGGGAAATAAACGGTATAATAAATGTAAAATGCACAGTGTGAAGCAGAGGTTGCGCTAGACTTTTTCGCTGCCCGTCGGACAGGATCGTAACATTTCAGTCAAAATCCATTATAACCCGTCGGCCTGTACACAACTCTGCGGGGGGGGGACGCACACTCACTCGTGAACTGTTAGCGCCGTGTTATGCATGCGGGAGCGCGCGCAGCGTAGAGCAAGTACTCACAGACATTTCAATGATTTGTTCGGCAAAGTTAGGTTTGGAAACTACATCATTTCCTTTTGGGAGCGCATGCATAATAACACGGCATAACACCGGAGCCCCGCTGCGGGGAAACTTTGGCGCTTTTCTGAGTTTGATCTAATCTGTCAAAAATGATGGACGGCTTTCAGATCTTTCCGTCATTGCTAAAAAAAAAACGTCATACATGGAAAATATTCGGTTAACGCGACCTCTGGAGTGAAGATATGTTATTAGAGGTTTGTTTTTACCTTTATTATTTAGTAAATCACACGTGACTCCACTTTTCAAACGGAGAGAAAACATACACATGTTGAGAGGAAACTGCATTTTTTTAAAACCACCCATACGAACAAATTCCAAACTTCATTGCATCACAACAGAAGGTCTTCATCTGTGGAATAACTGTAATGATGAGCTGACATACTGTGCAACTTGTATCTGAACTAAAACTATTATTTAGAAACCAAATCCTGACTGTTATGAGCAGGAACTGTGAAGTGATGCTTGCTATTTCTTGTCGTTGTAAAAGTTATATATTTTTGGTTGTTTTGTACGAAAAAAGGATTTGTTTAAAACAATTAATCAAATATCACGGATGCTGATGACGATAGCCTAAAAAGAATAAATGCTTTGCAAATAGCCACAGTATGAAGCAGATTTGCAGTCATCCAGATGAATTAACACAGATGAAATCAAGATGGAAGCAAAGTCCAGCGGCTCTGTTGGAAATCAAAGGCAGTCTGACCTTGTGGTTTGGTAACATGTTGTTTGAGCTTTTTGCACAGCCATTGCTATCTTTTTAAGAGCAGTTAACTGATCTGAAGCGGCGGCGGAAAACCACCAAGGTTGCTCTGAGTGTCATTTTCCTTTCTATGCTCTTTCTGTTCCTAAAAAGGTGAAACATCTCTGATTCTGTGTGGGAGGAGAATAAAACAGGGACAGTGGA